CAAATAACTGCAGAGACGTAGGGCACTTATGATAAATGCAATTAAGTTTTCAGTGTGTAAAATAATTGAACATTAATTTCTTGCTCCACATTCCAAAATAATTTAAATTAAGCTGCATAATCTGATTATGTCCAATCAGTTTTGCCTTTGTTCCTTCATACATAAATTCTTCAAACTAGGACTCTGACAACCTAAAACTGTACTAACATTTAGGTCTTCATCATGGAAGAAGTTAGTCATGGGAGAGCTAATCTTATGGTAGAATACAACAGAATCAGAAGCAGGAGTGCACCATTCAGCTCCTGGAGTCTGCTGCAACATTCAATAAGATCATGGTCTCAACTCTAACTCACAAATACCTTGAAGAAAAATCTAACTCAACACTGAATTGTTTTCAATGACTCAGCATCTGCTTCCCGCCTGGGAAAAGATTTCCACAGACTAAGAACCCAAGATAAAAAGAAGTTACACCTCATCTCATTCACAAATGGGGGAGCCCTAATTTTTTAAATTCCTGGTTTTAGACTCCTCCATATGAGGAAATATCCTCTCAGCATCCATCTTCCTGATACACTTACGGACAAACAGAACATCTGAATAGATTAAGGTTCAAGGTATCAAGGAAAATGAGGGAGCACCATCAACACATGTGAAAACTGATCTTTACCTGCCCATGGTATAGAACAAAATGCAGAAAAGGAAATTTATCTGAACATATTAATACTATGGCACGAAGGGAAATGTTGGCTAGATTTGGCTACATTGGAAAAAAAAGTGCTGTTGCATGGGTCGAAAGCCATCATGGAGCTGAACAACAAAGGAAATGTAAAGAAGGAGAATACTGTGGTCAACAGTTGGATTCTAAGAATCACAAAGGCAGATAACAAGATGAAGAAACAGATTTCAGGAGGAGATCCTACAGCACTGAACCTAAACAGCTGAAGTCTAATGCAGCGAAAGGAATGTGGATATATAAGAGGCAAACACTGGAGGAACACAGTTCTTGGCAGGTCGCAGAGCTGGAGGAGAGACAGAAATTGGTTGAGGCCATGATTGAAACAATTGGATGATAATTGTCACTTTTTAGTGTCATACAGGATGGCTAGCCAATGTAAGTCGGCATGTATAGGGATCATGGGTGAACAGGACTTGCAGCAAGACAGGAATCAGAAAGCAAAGTTTTGAGTTTCTAGAGGGTGGAGGATGGGAGACCAGTGGTTGAGCACTACAAATGTTCGATTCTGGTTTGAACAAGGCATGGTTAAATGTTTAAGCAGTGGTTTTGCTGAGGCAGGCAATATCACTGGAGTGGAAGCAAACAGTCTTTATGAGGGAAGAAATAGGGATCCAGCATTAAGTTAATAAGGAAGCAGAAATCATAGGTAGCCCAATTCAAACTGAAACAAAGACCCAAGGAAGGAATAGAATTGATGACATGACTTTGAAGATTTTGACAGTGTAAAAAGTGGATAAGAGTGGAATCAAGTGAGCATAGTTCCACTAAGTTGGACAATGTAGGAGAGGCATTGAACAAGGACTGTGCGGTCAACTGCAAAGGCTGAAGAGAACTGGAAAAGCACAAATAGGGCTAGTGCAGCAGGACTAAGTCACTGAGTATATAATTTGGTTAGGGCTGTTCCCTGTGCTATGGCAGGGTAGAAATCAGATATATGAGGGCTGTAGGAAAAGTGGGATTAGGATTTACAGAATGGTTTCAAACAAGGAGTTTTCTGCGAGATGGACAAAATGTCAGGAAATAACTTGAGTTAACTCTATTCTCACCTTCAACTCCTCTTCAGCAAAGGCTCCAGATGATTCTGAAATTACATTGCTGCTTCAATTTCAATTTGCACACAGGGGTCAGTGGTGCAAAAGTCTGTTCTACTGAACTGCCCATCAGGTTCCTGCCCCATGATTCTAGGACCAATAGTATTGTTTATTATTTCCTTATAGGAATTCATCCAGCATTTTTTAATAAAGCTACTATGATAATTTACTTTCATTACTTTCACTGTTAATCCATTCCATAATATTATCATTGCCCTCTGCCCATTCATTGAATTCCTTTAATATCGTTGACTTAGAAGCATGGGCGTAATCTTATAGGTATTTGAGCAAAATGAGCTACGGCAAGATTTCTGGCAGAATCAGACAAAAAGTCCAGTAAAGCTAATCTCAACATTGGGAAACTCTCACTTCATCATGTATATTTTTGACAAGCGGCATTGCGAATTTCTTATTGACAGCAAATAACTGTCAATTGTTCACAGCCCAACTAACCTTATTAATATTCAGCCATTTTACCAAATGTGCCAAACAAGCTAAACTTTGAGAAAACTTGATGTGGAAACCAGAGTGGTTACCTGTCGAACTCAACTCTCTGCTTGTTCCAAAGGACCTCCATGTTGCACCTGACCAAACAGTATCTCAGGCCATGATCTGTAGTCTGCAGGGACATGCACACCTCATCTGCAGACATTGGCATCCAGCATTTGTTAAGGCCTCACCACCTCCCAGATGGTAGGAGCTCTAGAAGCACAGACTTGCATTGCAGGACACATTGGCAACTTGCATTGAAAGGCTGCTGCACCTTGTACAACGGACAGGCACCATCTGAAGGATTGAACCAGGGTGCATCTCAGAGCTGCTCACTTACTCACTTAGCTTTCGCTCACTTGGTACTTACATGCATGAACACATCATCCATGCCTGACCCTGCCTATTTGCACAGACACAAAGACAGGCAGCTTGTCTTGCTGGTCGGCGACTTAAAGGTGGAGTGGGGGTACATTTTGCTGTGTAGCAGTGTGTTACATCAATCGTATACCTGCACTATGTGCCAGCAGCTTGTGGCAAACACACTACATATGCAGCAAGTAAGCAGCCATGTCTCAAAGTCTTGAGCACTTCTCACTGACATCCATGAAGATACAGTAAGTCAAAGGCAGCCTCAAATACCATTCCAGGGGATTGGCCACGATCAAGGGGCTGATCAGGATGATCTCGCTCAGGGGATCCACGCCTCTGCAGTCTGAGGATTGGATCACTGTCAGTCCTTTTGCTTTAAATAGGTCACACTAGGTGCATTGAGCTAATGCCGTCAGAGAGATGTATTGCCATTCTGGGTTCTGGGGCTGTCCAGCTGGGTCTCTCAAGGGGTCAGTCCCTCATAGACCTTAAGGGAAAGGAGGTGGAGAGGTTGGGTTTGGTCCATGGACACTGTGGCTTCAAGGAGGACAGGGTGTATGGTCACACTTAGCCTGATCACCTTATATTCAAGGGCTGGCTGGGAAAATGTGGCCAGATGCAGGCTCATGTATACAGGTTGGACAGGGAGCTGGGGAGGTGCGAAGCCTATGGGTTATAAGGGAAAGGCTATCAGGAAGATGATTTGGGGTCTCACTGACACAGAGGTGGAGGCTATAAACCATGGTTGAGGAGCACTCATTGTTGCCTTTCATCGTGCTAGAAATTAAAAGTGTGCAATGGGGAAACAAATGTCTGTGACCGCACTCAGAGTAAGCAGGGTCAGTGACTTGACCCATGAGGAAAAAGGCTGCAGGTCTTACCAACGTTAGGGCTTTTAAAGGGAGACAGCACGACACACAGACCTTGCACTGTAGAGGACACAGACCTGCAGGGTCTCTCATCTTCCATTCTCCACGTCCCAGATTCACTGATCAACTCACTCACACCAACACATGTGGACTCAGAGACCAGAAAAAAAACAGGGATATTATAAGGATAAGGGCCCAAGTTGTCAGCAGGACCCATTCCCTTGCATACGCCTTGTTCCTCTTACTTCCAAATAATGTAGCAGACTCTCAGCACAGACCTCTATTGATGGTAAGTCATATGTAGCCATGATGCTATGCCTCGTGCTGGAACAATGACATTTGGGACTACACAGAGAGATAAGCAGCCAGGTGTAAGGTGAAAGCAGTACTATTTATATTTTAAAAATGCAAAATAATGTACAGTGCATAGTTGTACATGCCACCACAGTGCCTTCAATAATTTTTCTTCTTCTCCTCCTTCCCACTACTTGTAAAATAACAAGTTGCATCTATTTATGTGCCTATAGTTAGGCAAATATCCTAACACGCTTCACAGGATTGTAAAGGTTAAGAATGGACACTGTGAAATGATGGCTGGCTAAAAATGTGGCGAGTTTTAAAGGAGGTCTGAGAATTGGAGCAGTAATTCCAGACTGCTGTAGGTAGGATCAGTTGATATACAGAGATATGGAAGGACCACATCCCAGTGGATTTTAAACATGCATAGGCATATGTTAAATTGGAGTTTTCCTTCTCCTATCTGCTATGTTTTGCTGCATGAAATACAGGCAAAGGGGAATATGCAGATACTTGATGTTTTCTAACCAACCATAAGAGTTACTGTATTTCAGAAATCAGTAGCTATTTTGCCATTCTTTGATGTACCATCTAAAAACCTTGTAGGATCCAAATCTTACAAGCTAGCAAACATTATCTACTGATTTGTTCACTGCCACACAAATTTGTCTGCACATTTACCCTGGATTTTACAACCATTTCAATGTCATGAAGGATCTTACTTTTTAAATTTTGCACTAAATTATTGTCACGTGAAGTAGCAGGCATCAGCCGTAGGAAACATCTTCCTCCCTGTTGACACAGCTGGTGAAAGCAAATCTAACAAAATTTAGAATCTTTGGACAGACTGAGAGAGATGTCAAATATACAGCAAAAAAAATACTTCTCAATTTCATAATCCCAACAGGCAAGGTGCTAAAACAAATTTGGGAGAATAGAAAATACAGTGAGACTAACAATAAGCAACATAAAAAGAAACTGAGGCATCACACACATTGTGTAGAAATAAGAACCCTCTCAAAGTAGTAATATGTCTTATTAATATTCCTCATGCAATTCTCCGATTTACCCAGAGTAAATGCATGACAGATATAAAGTCCAATTATTTTTGATCAACAACCTGCAGCAAATTAATAATGTACTCACCGTATCCCACATTACTATGTTCACATCAGTATCAAAAGAGTTGTTGATATGTTGGGAAATGTACAGGTTAACAAAGTCACAGAAATGGTGGTACATATTGACACCTGAAAGTAAGGAATATGCGTTTTATTAACGAATGACGCTAACGTTATTTGGCTAAATACAACTGATAACTGTTCAGTTGAAGTAACTTACAGTGGGATCATTACATATTTGGCTTGTTGGTAGAGTATATCTGTTAATCACAAACATCTCATATCTTTCTAGCAACATATTCAGTGTTTGACAAAGTCCTAACCTAATACTTTATTTTGAAAAGAAATTTTCTAGGCACACAGGTTCAAATCCTATAACAGCTAGTAGAATTTTGATTCAAAGCTGGTCTCAGTGATGTGTTAAACTAAACAGAAATTAGTAAATATGTCTAATGTTGAGAGCATTTGTTGGTATGCTAGAAGACTAGTGCTTGATTAATTACATTAAATACTGTCTATTGTGGTATACAAATTTGTTTCGGTAATCTATTAATGAATTTTGATTGCTATTGCATTCCTGATTCACTCTCCAAACTGCAATCAAATGAATTCTGCTAAACTTTAAGCAATTTGTCTGATGCTCTATCCAAATAAAGCCAGAAATAAATCTCTCATATTCATCATGGGTAGTAATTTTTTTTAAAATTCTAATAAGCTGGATGTTGTCCAGTTCTGTTGCGGATTAATACGAGCTGCTCCATTATCAGAGGAGCTGTGAATGAAATTGAACTTTGCAGAACCTTAAAAAGAGAGTAGAATCAATAGTTCCCAGTTTGCAAGTGAAAATAGTGCCTGGGGTTTGCAAGATACTCTCGGCCATTTACATTTAGTGTTCTCTCAGAGGTAACATAAAAATGGGAGCTGCTTATACTGATTTCCCTTTGTAATTGGCAAGAAGACAACATACATCCATAGATCCTAAAGCAGTTTTTCATGAATTATTTTTCCATTATTAATTTCTTTTTGAGGACTAATGTATAAAGGGGTGTGAAAATCAGTTCATTTGAAAGACTGAGGTGTGGACTTGTTTCTTTTATCAAAAATAAAAAGGGCACTAAAAGGACACATTGGATTTTGTTTTTAAAGACACTTATTAGAAGTAACATGTCTTAAGCTAATGGTTTGGACTTGTTCATTGAAAGTAAAATGTTGAGTTTATGGCTGTCAGGAGTTGTGGCTCTTTGACTTTGTTTGGAATTCAGTTGTCTAGCTTGTTAAAAGACTCACCCCTCTTCCACCTTTTTTTTTGAAAAATCACCTTCTGAGATCAGTGTGAGAGCTGAAAACAGATGCAGTTATTCTCCTGAGAAGCTGCTGAAAGGCTTCCTCTTGACATTTCCTGAGAAACCTGCTTCGGCAAAGATCCTAGTGATACCATCTGTTTCTAGTGACACCAATTTACATGTGCCAGTATGTCTGACCAAAAGCTATCTGGAACATGGCATAACTCCTTTTTCCATTTGCAAATTAGCAATTATTTCACCAAAATACCTTCTTATGTAAAATTGATGTCTGCAGAAATTTTTTTTAAAAAACTTTTCTTGAACTGCTGTGTGCGCACACGTGTTAGGTTTTTTTAGAAGGTTAATAAGCAATCCTTTAACTTTATTAAATAAATCATGTTTTATAATAAATTAATGCTTTTTTTATTTATTTGAAGAAACCCGGTTGGCAGATTACTGAAGCAGAAAGATTAGTATAAATGAGTAATTAGCATAATAACTGAGCAAAGCATTTTTTAAAAAACATATGCAGTGAGTAGTGGTACTTCAGAGAGTCAGTGCACCTCTCCTATCTTGGTTGAAATAATTTACTGTAATCTTTTCATAAGATATTTCAGAATATTTTCCAATTTATTTCAATTGATGCAATTTAAAATTGTAACAAAGCTTGAAAAATCAGGTCATTGATCAAAAGAAAATAAATTTTGCATCACATATAAACAGGATGGTTAAAAGGCATTTGGCATGCTTGCCTTCATTGCTCAGTCCTTTGAGTGTAGGATTTGGGAAGTCATGTTGAGGTTGTACAGGACATTGGTGAAGCCTCTTCTGGAGTACTGTGTCCAGTTCTAGTTGCCCAGTTTTAGGAAGGATATTATCAAGTTGGAGAGGGTTCAGAAGAGATTTACCAGGATGTTGCCAGATATGAAAGGTTTGATTTGTAAGGAAAGGCTGGATAGGCTGGGACTTTTTCACTGGAGCATAGGAAGTTGAGCGGGTGACCTGGTAGAAGCTTATAAAATAACGAGAGGTACAGATAGAATTGACAGTAATTGTCTTTTCCCTAGAATGGGGAATTTCAAGACTAGGGAAATTTTTAAGGTGAGAGGAGAGAGATTTAAAAAAGGCATAAGAGGCAAATGTTTTACACAGAGGGTGTTTCGCGCGTGGAATGAGCTTCCTGATGAAATGGTGGATGCGGGCACGATTAAAACGTTTAAAAGACATTTGGATGGATATATGAATAGAAAAGGTTTGGAGGGATATGAGCCAGGTGCAGACAGGTGGGACTAGTTTAGTTTGGGATTATGTGGTCGGCATGGACTGGTTAGACCGAAGGGTCTGCTTCCATGCTGTATGACTCTATGAATAAAAACAGTAGTTTACTTTAGATGCAAAAGTCCAACATTAAAGTGTCATTTCACTACATTGCATAAAGGAAAAACTATTTGCCTTTACCTGCATCAAGCTTCATGAAGTAGCTTGGCTTTTCAACAATGAGGTCACAATTTTCATCTTTCAGTTCAAAATTCAGCTGAGAATATGACTGTAGTTCTGCAAACCTGTGCAAAGAATAGATTATAAATGGTACTAAAATACTGAATCAGAGCTACCTAAGGATACCAACTAGATTATAATTTAATCACTGTTCAATTTGTTACAGTTTAAAATGTCACAAAGAGTTTTCCAGTGTCATGTACAGCTGCTGCATCTTTCAAATTAACTAAATATGTTGAAATGTGTCATGCCATAAATGGATGTGGTTTGGTTTCCCACTGTTGACAAATACTCTTCTAACATTATAATAAAGGCAATTACATGGCATCATGATGAAGGTAATTAAGTAAGTATACAAAGCCAGTTTGCAAACATTAAATTCAGCAAGGAAGATGTGGACAATACTTTGCCTTTCACACCAGTTGTCTACATTTTCAAACAGCACGGAATTTCCAACAGCTATTTATACATGCTGCTACGACTGCTAATTTTCTCCACAAATGTAACTGTGAAACTTATTTTTCTCATTCCTACTTTTCTGTTAAAGCTTCTCCACTGTCAAGTGCTAGAAGCTGCAAGAAATCAGCCAGGAATAACTTTGCTTCTCTCTACATTACACTATTAGTACTGTAATCAAAGCTGGAAAATGCCAGGGTGGGAAATTATTCAATAAATCCATTAACCTCTGATCCCAAAGTAGTGTAATTTAAGAAAAATATAATTCACCATAATTTTACAAATCAGAATTTATAAATCACTGAATCATGCAGCAAAGAAAGCCATTCAGTCCATTATACTGTGCTTGCTCTCTGAAATTCCCTGCTCTTTCTCAAACGTTTTTATTTTTAAATTATATTTCCAATTTCCTTTTCAAAGTTACCATAATACTGAAACTACTTCCATCGTCCATTCAGGCACAATAACAATTTTGCTCTTCACCTTCATTTTGACCAGTAAAGGAATAAACACACATTTTGGGGAGAACAACATAAAAGGATTTATTTCTGGCAAGTACTAATTCTGTGCATTACTATTGGACATATCACTTTCAATTTACTTACTTTAATCATGGTTTCAAACATGGTGCTAATTCAATAATACTTTTAAAATGACCAAAGTAATTTTCCCATTTCAGAGTGACCAAAAGGATGGCGAACGAAGTGAAACGTTTCACAATAAACTGGAGAAGAAAGTATGAAGTTAGCATTATGTCACATTCTTGGTCAGAATGAAATGCAAGTCTCTATAGTTCCAGAGGGCCTTGCCTTAAGCTGTTCTCTCAGTATAGACAGACAATTGGTGGTGAGAGTTTAACTTGAGAGTTGCCAAACCTCTGGCAAGGGACGAGGTGTAGAAAGCAAAGCCTTCATGGTAACCTTGGCTGGTACAGGAATTGAACCCACACTGTTGGCATCACTCTGCCCCGCAAACCAGTCATTCAACCAGATGAGCTAACTAGGCTCCAACTGGACAGAATCAAGAGCACTTCATAGCCTTGACTACGCTGCAGCTTCTGTTTGAAGCAGGTGGCTGAAAAATCAGTTCTGCCAGTTCGTGCATCAAATTCTTAGCAGCCTTTACAAAGCTACAAAGCCACATTTCAAATATTTGAACCCAATGTTCTCAAAACATAAATCTGGATCTCTAAGATTTTAAAATGCCCAGGAAGTCAGATGTATGCTATTGCAAGTTAAAAAAAAAAGTCCAGCGATACAAAAAGGGCAGTCTGCATTTATCGCACACTGAACTTTAGCTGAAAGTACTTTATAATAATGTGAGATACCTGAAATGGAAAACTGTTCCATTTTTAGCAATGATTATTTTCACTTTTATTAACCCAACAAATCAAGAATGTCTGTACAGTTTTAAAGTAATAAGTTTTATATATGTTGTTAGTTTAAAAAATGTGCCCCAGTGCTTTTTGTAATTTTCCCTCTTAATTTTTCCGGTCTTGTAACACTCAATCTTTTAAAATTTCCCCTTTGCTGTCATGCATTTTTCACTGTCCCTCATGAATCTCTCAGCTCATAGCTTCTGTTCAAATGATTACTACCTATTTTTGCACCTTGAAGTAGGTAGGAGTTTCCAAGTTTGTGTTTTCCACTGAACCCTATGTTAGACTGATTCACCAAATTGTATAAATGGGTGGGATTTTACAGCACTTCTCTGACTAACTGTGGTACATTATCCCTTTTCCTTGCTATTGAGGAAGTGCAGCAGAGGTTCACTAGGCTGATACCAGAATGACAAGACTGTCATATGAGGAGAGACTAGTTTGACTAGGCCTATATCACTAGAATTTAGAAGGATGATGAGGAGGTCTGATTGAAATGACTAAAATTCCAAGGGCTGAACAGACTAGCTACAGGAAGAACATTTTCTCTAGTTGGGGAGTGTAGAATCAGGATCACAGTCACAGGATGTGGAGTAGGCCATTTAAGGTATGACGAAGAAATACTTCTTCACTCAAAAGATAGTGAATCTGTGGAATTCTCTACTACAGAAGCTGTGAAGGCCAAGTGCTGACTGTATTCAATAAAGATATTCATAATTGTTCAGATATTATAGGCATCAAGAGAAATGGGGAGAAAGTAGGAATATCATAGAATCATGAAGCTTAGAATCCCCACAGTGTGGAAACAGGCCATTCGGCCCAACAAGTCCACACCGACCCTCTGAAGAGAATCCCACCCAGATGCATCCCACTACCCTATCCCTGCATTTTCCCATGGCTGATGCACCTAACCTACACATCCCTAAAAACTACAGGCAATTTAGCATGGCCAATCCAGCCAACTTGCACATCCTTGGTCTGTGCGAGGAAACCGGAGCACTTGGCAGAAATGCATGCAGACACGGGGAGAACATGCAAACTCCACACAGATAGTTGCCCGAGGTTTGCAATGCTGAGGTGATGCCAACAGCAAGGTTTCAATTCCCATTCCATGAATTTACCATGAAGGTCCAACCCTGGCAACCTTAGCCTTGAGGTGTGTGGTGAACCTCAAGTTAAACTCCCCACCAGTTACTTCTTTCTAATGACAGCAGCTCTATGGTCCTCTGGGATTATCATGACTTCAACTTTACCTTCTGTCACAGTTCCAGCTCTGCAGCCTCTTGCCTCACTCGCCCCTTCCCCAACTCTCCAAGGTTAGTAAGTACTTCTTTGATTCTTATATCTTCCGCACATCCCTCCTCGCTTCTCTCCAGAGTCGGTGGTGGTACTTTCGTCTACCTAGGCCCCATGATCTGGAATTGTCATCAAAATCCTACTGCTTTTCCATTTCATTCTCCTTTAAGACCCTCCTTAAAACCTACTACTTTGACCAAGCTTATGGTAAGCCATCCCAACATCTTTTTTTTTCAGAAATTGTTTAGATTTAGTTGCACATCTGTGAAGCATCTTAGGATTCTCCTTGCTAAATTGGCTGTATAAATGCAAATTGTTGTTTTTGCCTTAGTTGTACAAAACATGCTGCATTCGCAATGTCATTCCTGCCGGTATAAAGGCTCTTAAGCACGGCCACGACACTTAATTCATTGTATTGTAAACTATTAAAAATCATAACAAGAAGAAGAAACATTACAAATCTATTGTTTGACTAACAAAGGTAGATTGGAAATATGTAATTGCAATGGAGTGGGTGCAGAGGGGATTTAGCAGGATGTTGCCTGGCATGGATAGAGGCTGGATAAGCTCAGTTTGTTATTTTTGAAGCACAGTGGATTAAGGTGGAGGGAACCTGTGAAAGGTGTACAAGATTATATGGGACATGGACACAGTGTACTGAAAGCAGCTGTTCCCCTTAGATGAAGGTTCAACAAAAAAAGGATGCACAGTTTTAAACAGAAAGGCAGGAGGTTTAGAGGAGATTTAAGGAAAAACGTTTTCACCCAGTAGGTGGTAGGGGTCTGGAACATGACTACCCTCCCAGGTAGTCGAGGTGGGAAACTTCACAACCTTTAAAAAGTACTTGGATGAGCATTTGAAGTGTCATAAAATTCTAGACCTAGTGTAGGAAAGTGGGACGAGTGTAGGTAATAGAGTATTTTTGGTGGTACAGTTTCAATGGGCCAAAGAAGTCTGATTGTATGAAAGTTATATCAATATATATTTCAACTGAGAGTCATTATACGCCATCCTGAGGAGTAACAGAAGTCTCTGCGGCTTGCTGCTACTTTTGGTCAACTCATAGCTATCGCACCATGGGTGTAGAATGAGGATGGAACATTGTAACCAAAGTTTTCTAGCAATGATAATTATTCATGATTACAGAAAAATTATTAATATTTCTGTAATACTAATGCATTCTTCTATTTAAAATTTAAGTTACAAAGTACATCAAACATTTGCACTTCCATTGTTAATACTTAAAACATTGAGAGGGAAATCACACAACATCAACTTTTTGCATCATTTCAAAACATTAAAGTATTGTTTGTCTTGCATTTTTTATACTAATTTCTCTCTGTTAAGACATATGATGTGAGAAAACTCAAAACAATAGAACTTTACAGCCTCTGATGCTTGCCTCTATGCCACTTGCCCATCAAGTCTTTCCAAGGGCTCCCTATTGCACTAGTTTCAAACTTGCATATTTTCCAGTTTTGCTCCAATTTTCCCTCATGTCCTCTCCCTGTTCATCTTACCCAGGAGACACACCACCTACTCACCCATTCATCATCCGGCCCAACTGTTGACCAGTCAACCTCCCTTTCTGGCTCTGACATTAGCTGATTTCTCTCTGCTACAAATCTTCAATCATCATTACCCCTTCTCCTCAAAAAAAACCCTCAACTCCTCTGTTCTTGCAAACTACTGCCCCAACTCTAACCCTCTTTTGCTTCACAAAGATCTTAAATTTTCTGTCGCTTCCCAAATTAATGCTCACCTTTCCTGAAACTCCACACTGGAAACTCTCAGGTTTCTACAACAGTACTGAAATGTCACACATGACAAGATGTGCATAATTGTGACCAGATTAAATTATACCCTGCATCAAATCCAAGCTGTAATAATGGGTGGCTTCATTGTCTGAAGCTAACCAGATTATTTCACAAGCTTAGTACTACATTTGACAGCGAGACGAAACACATACCTTCTCTATCATTAAGATCACTAATACTTACATCACAGGCCCAACTCCTCCCCGCATCAGTTCATCTGTTGCTCAAAATATCAAGCCAGAGTTAACTAATACAACACTATACTGGTCAGCCTTGCATTTTTTCCAACCTCTATAAACTCTATTTTCCATATTCTAACTCACACCAAATCCTGTTCATCGAAACTTCATATTTGCTGACTTTTATCCAAATCAAATTTAAAATTCTCACCCTTGTTTTCAAAATGTTTCATAACCTACGCATTCCAATCTCTGTAATTTATTAGGACCTAGAGCCATGCAAAATCACTGTGTTCGTCCATTTCTGATCTCAAATGTTACCCAATTTTAATCACTGTATCCTCAGCTACTTAAATTCCCTGCCTTTCTGCTTTGCTCCTTCTTAAGATGTATGTATACACGACCCTCTATATCCAATCTGTTGTAACGTCTCCACATATATTTCAATGTCTGATTTTAATAGTGCTCCCCCAAAGTGACTTTGGACCTTTGCTACATTAACGCCACTACTTACATATTATTGATACACTGAAACAAAAACAATCTTTTCCACTTCCCAAACGACAAACTTACCAGGACTGGAGAGGACTCTTGTGCTCTCCTTCAGCTAACAGCGCCTTTTTGTCCAATTTACAGTGGCCTCCAATTTCACCTTCCTGAAGGAAATCTTCCTTATATCTGTTGAGGCAAGACCCGCACTCTTTCTTTACAAGATTTTTAATATTACAGTTCTTACATTTTAAATGTAACAATGTTAGGATAATATTGTAAACAGCAGCGATTTAACTTTCCAGATCTCAGAGGGAAAAAACAATGAAACTGGTGCATGAAACATACTGGTCCAACTAATAGAAACGTAGAAAACGTGAGAAGGAGAAGTCCATTTTGCCATTCAAGATGGTCTTTATCTCAACACCATACGCTGCTCTCTTCCTCCCCATTACCTTTAGCATATTGAAATCTGTTTTCTGAAATATTTTTAGTGATCATTTTTCAACAGCCTTCTGTGGTAGAGAATTCCACAGGTTCATCAGTGGAGAAATTTCTCTTCCTCTCAGTCTGAAACAGCCTTCTCCATATAATTATATTGTGACATCGTGTTCTGGAACCCCACTACCACTGGTCCCACCACCAGCAGCTGGGCGAGCATCAACTCTGCGTCCAGTATGTCCAGCCCTGTCAGAGGTTTATATGTTCAAGGCCTCTCGCGATGAAGGACACCGCAACATTTGTGTTCCTAACTGCTTGCTGTACCTGCATGCTAGCTTTCAGTGGCCAGTGTAACCCGCACATCCAGGTCCCACTATACATCAACATTTCCGAATCCATCACTATTTAAATAATACTTGACCATTCTGTTTGTCCAACCAAATTTATTAGCTTTCAACATCATTAATTTCTCCAGCTTTTGTTTTTCATCAAAACTAATTTCGTACGATTCTTCTTTCCCAAACAAAACCTGTGCTTTCCAGCATTTCTGGGAAGTTACTTGCACCTTTTTCTGTGAAGACAGAACAAAGAGCACTTGAAGTGTCATAATATTCAAGGCTATGAGCCTAGTACGGGAAAGTGGGACTAGTGCAGATAATAGGTCATTACATGGGCTGATGGGCCTCTTCTGTAGTGTATGATTCTATGAAAAAGTAATTATTTAATTGCTCTGCCCATTTCCTTGATCTCCATTATCAATTCTCCAGTTTCAGACTGTAAGGAGTCTACATTTGTCTTCACTAATCCTTTTCTTCTTACATATCTATAAAAAGAAATTTACTTGTGGATTGCTGGCTGGGCCAGCATTTATTGTCCCTAACTGTTTGGAAGACAGTTAAGAGTGAACTACATTATTGTGGATCTAGAGTTACACATAGACCAGACCAGGTAAGGATAGCAGATTTCTTTCTCTAAAAGGACATTGGTTAACCAGATGTGTTTTTTACTACAATAATGCACAATGGTTACACAATTGCCATTAGGCTAGTTTTTCATTCCCGCTTATTACCTGCCGTGGAGGGATTGAAACTACATCCACAACTAGGGGTTCTTAGTAAGTGACAATATCACTGTGCCACCACATCTCCATACAGTATGTTTCCTTCTTCTCTCATTAATACACTTAATGTCAGTATTAAGACACTCATACTCTCTTAATTAGCATATTTACAGATGACAACAAAGGTCAATTATGACGACTGTGTTAATTTCTAAGTATTACTCATTTTTAACTGTTTTTTTTCACCCTCTGGGATCACTTGAGATTTAATTTTTAGGAGAGCTCAAAAATTAGTACTCCAAATTAATATCATGATCTGACAAGACACTTGCAATTTGACATATGATTAACAGTAAGCAAAACCTAAGTGGTATTCTATACTCAGCACAGGAAGATTTTGAAGAACACTGCAAGGCCAGGGACATACACATCTTGCAAAACTTTGCAGCAGGATTTCACAATTCCCACTGATCATCAGAACAAATTGTCAAATTGATAGGTTGGAATCTAGCATCAGCTATTCACAGTCAGATTTGCTGAGGGATGGTCCTTTACAATCAGGACAGGTACAAACATGGAGTAAAATTATAGACAGCCCACTATCAGCGAGAAAACAAGACCAAAACCTTCCTTGAGGAGTTTGAGGAAGGCTGTGTTTGCTGATACCATGGAGCATGTAGTAGACTTCACTGAGACATTTACGAATACACTCTGCCAGGTGTCAAAGTGTCACACTGGTTAACTTAAATTAGGCTCCCAGTGCACTGTGGAAGTCGGGTCTAGATATGTTAGTGAAGTGTTCTGATTCTCTAAAATGGGACACTCACACAGTATAAAATGGCAATAGATGGATCTTAGACAAGCTGTGGTCGCATTATCATAACTCTCAACTTCCACCCATCAGGGTTCGGTGGTGGTGGGGCTGGGGAGACTCAGATCTATTGACTGCCATCATAGCTACGTTTCCAGTTATTTTCAGAAGCACGGTTTTTGATTCCATGTGGACCATTCATTTATTTTACCACATTAGTATCCCAGGAAAAAGGTTTCACCTGAAGAGTCTGCTATTTACCACAAAGAAGATAATTAAAAGCAGAGACCTATCTGTGCTTCTTCTTAGGTTTCTCAAATCGATGTAAAGATTTGTAGCTCTGCAATAGCGAGTGTATTTTGAACACATTAAGGATGAATCTCCCTGAAATAAAATCCAAGAGGAATTAAATTCGTCAAAACCAATCGAAATTTGGAAAGTAATTGTGAATAGAATGACCAGAGTTAATTTTAAAGTAATCTCTAATTTCCCAAAAGCTTACTGGTTTGGCTGGTTCACAGAGGGTTTGCATCTCTTTTAGCATTTCTTTTACATATCCAAAGTCAGCTTGTTTCCAGAAAATATCCTGTGCTACTTCTATTGTGTTGGCCCTGTTACAACGATATAAAATGAAATCTTGGAAAGCTAGTCAGTGTACAAATAAAAATATAGAAAGAGAGAGAGAAAAACATAGAGAAACAAAAGAATGACTTGCATATTGTCTCAAAATATGTCACAAAGAACTTTACAGTAGTGACTATCCTGTATTAAATTGACTTTAAAGGAGGGAACATGGCAGCCAATAATGCACACAGCAAATTGCCACAAACAGTAATGTGAAAATGACCTGATAATCAGAGTTTTTTGATGATGCTGATTGAGGGATAAATGACAGCCAGAATATCAGGGATAACTCCTCAACTCTCCTTTGAAATAGGGCCATGGGATTTGTTACAGGCATCCCATTAACATTTCACTTGAGAGAAGGCATCTCAAACACTGCAGCATTCCTGCAATATTGAATACGCATGTTAGGATTTGAACATGTAATCTTGTGACTCAGAGGCAATAGCACTACCAACTGAGTCAGAAATCACACACCAGGTTTATTTGAAATCACAAGCTTTTGCAGCATAGCCCCTTCATCATGTTAAGTGAGAGAGAGGCACACAGAATACAGAATTTATAGGCAGAGAGATCAAAAGATCATTCAAATGGTGTAAGTGCAGTATCGAATAATAAGTCTCTGCAGGTGATCGAAAGTCTCAGATGGAGTGAGTAAAGCGTCAACAGTTGAATAACAAGCGAAGGGATCCTAAAATCTAATTAAGAGAGGCAGAGAGATAGTTACAAAAAGTTAAAAGTAAGGTGGTGGTGAAGACAAACCAAATGACTGGAATAACATGGTAAATATAAGAGTCGAATGCCGAGGGTCTAACCAAAGTAATAAGTAATCCAAAACTGTACAAACTGGTTAAGGTAAAGAGACCATAGCAAGTTATCAAGGTGGTGGTGGTGGTGTCGAAACAGGACAGAAAGGAAGATTTTATAGATACAGAACAGTGAGTTGGGGTCACCTGAAGCACGACATGAACCCAAGGTTACAGTTGAGGCTGTCTTCATGGGTACGGAACTTGGTAATCAGTCTCTGCTCGGCAATTCTGCGTGTTGTGTATCTCAAAGTCTGCCTTGGAGGACACTTATCCGAAGATCGGAGGCTGAATGTCCTTGACCGCTGAAGTGTTCCCCAATTGGGAGGGAACATTCCTGTTTGACAATTATTGCATGGTGTCCATTCATCCATTGTCGTAGTGTCTGCATTGTCTCGCCAATATACCATGTCTCATGGCATCCTTTCCTGCTGCGTATGAGAGAGACAACATTAGCTGAGTCACATGAGTATCTGCCATGTACGTGGTGGGTGGTGTTCCCACGTGTGATGGTAGTATCCATGTCGATGATCTGACATGTCTTGCAGAGGTTGAAGTGACAGGATTGTGTGGTTCTGGTCGATGTTGTCCTGAAGACTGAGTAGTTTGCTGCAAACAATGGTCTGTGTAAGGTTTGGCAGTTGTTTGAAGGCAAGAGAAACGGAGGCATAGGGAAGATCTTGGCAAGATGCTCATCATCATTATGAGGTCTTGAAAGCTGCGAAGAACATGACGTAGTTTCTTCGCTCCGGGGAAGTTCTGGACAACAAAGGGGACTCTATCGGTCGAATCCATGTGTCTGTCCTCTGAAGAGGTCGCTGCAGATTTTCACTGTGACACGCTGGAACTGGCGGTCGATGAGTTGAGCATCCTATCCCATCCTTATGAGGTCATCCTTCAAAATATTTAGGTGTCCATCGCATTCCTTCTCATCAGAACAGATCCTCTGAATGCGCAGGGTTTGTCTGTATGGGATGGCTTTTTACAAAAATGTTTGGAGTGGAAGCTAGAGAATTGCAGCATTGTGAGGTTATTCGTGGGCTTGCAGTAGTTTGTACAGTTTTGAATTACTTATGTCTTTGGTTTGACCTGCGGCATGAGACTCTTATACCTATCATGTTATTCCAGTCATTCAGTTTGTCTCCAGCACCACCTTACTCCTAATTTTTTGTAATTATCTCTCAGCCTTGTTTAATTGGATTATAGGTTATCCCTTTGCTGGTTATCCAGCTGTTGACACTTTACTCACTGTCTAACACTCTTGGTCACCCACAGAGACATGATCTCTCTGCCTATAAACTCTGTGTCTGTGTGCTCTTCTTCTTTCTCACTGCACCTGACGAAGAGGCTGCACTCCAAAAGCTTATGATTTCAAATAAACCTGTTGGACTATAACCTGGTGTCGTGTGACTTCTGACTTTGACCACCCCAGTCCAAAACTGGCACCTCCACATCATGACTACCCACGGAGTTATGAGTGACAACAAAGAGGTTTGGTTGCACTCAACAAATCAATGCACCTTTGCCTTAGTTTCTACTGTTTAGCATGCCAAGAACTTGGGATAAAAATGTGCAGTGTTGAATACAAAAATATTGCACAATTAAAACCAAAATCAAGTTTGATCTCTGAGATAGTAAGAACTGCCGATGCTGGAGTCAGAGATAACACAGTGTGGAGCTGGAGGAA